GTATTGCATTAGACGAAGTGTGCTGACTTGGGTTTAGCAACGATATTGCACGTTCAGGTGGTATTATCATGGACCGCTGCACACGCGGTGACAACACTGTTTCTGGAACTGCGTATATTCCCCAGGGCGGTGTTGCTGTACATATCCAGCATTCTTAGAGGGGAACTCGGAGGTGTTTTGGCTCGTGGGGTTGCAAAGTGAGGATATCGAACAGACGGCAGGAAGCAGGGTAATACCTGCCTATTATGGACTATATGACATTACGAAAACGCTAGGTTGAACGCAGTAGTAGTACTGCCATCGAATACTGAGTATTTTCTTGTGATTGGAACCTGCTGTAGTGAAGCTTCCTCCGCGCAACATGCCTCTACAATGTTTTCGTAGAGTCCTCGTTCGTGCTGATAATGCAATAGTAGCAAGAAGACTTATACATCAGGATCAGTATGACCCTTGCGTCACTAGGATGATGTTTCATACTACAGGACTTGAGATGCTGCGGCTCGGGTCTTGCGGCCAACAGGTAAATGTGTAGCTCTTTGACGGACAATCAGCATGTGCAGTTCCTTCTCGGAAAAGACCACTGAGAGCAGTACCAGACAGATACACCATGGTCTAATCGGGTCGATTATGTTCCCCACGCTCACCAGTTTGCCAAAGAGGAGTTGGTTACCGCCTGTCATCAATCTAAAAGCAATGAAGCTGTACGAACACCCACCTCAACACGACCCAAACGATCATCGTCAACAGCATCCTCTCCACCTACCCCTCACCCCACCCCTCATTCCAAAGCAAGTTCAGCCAGCCCTATCTCCGCAACCCGGCGAATAAATGCAAAAAGGAAGAACTACTTATCGCCCTTGCAGCCACACAAACCCACGTCGGCCCACCCACACCGCAATCCTCCAAAAAGCAAGGCTGATCAACCATGTCTCAACACCACCTCCCTTTTCCCAGTACAACGGTACCGGAGGCAGGCGGCTGGCTGCGTTCTCCTTGCAGGAACAAAGCCACTTCATTCTCGTTTGGCGCCTGCATGCAGAAGCGAGATAGGGTCGACGTGCACGAGCCAGGTGCTGTGCTACCAAAAAAAGTAAACGGAAAAGGGGAAATTGCATGAATGCATGGATGTGGAACAATGACGATCGACTTTGCCAACACACCACCGCCATGATTCAGCTCGTCTGCGTTGGATTGTCATGTGAATTACATTGTCGTGCTTACTGCATGCACAACTTCTATGCTAAAGATCCGACTGTGAGCCGCCTATCTATCCTCGTCACATAGCCCATCCTCGCATGATAACAGTAATAATCTAGGCATCTAGTGCCGGAATACCAGATAGCGCAATGCAGTGAAAAAAGCGACATAGAAAATCGTGTAGCAAATGGCGACTAGGTTTACAAGTTAAGTAGGCCGAGCTAGAAAGCGGCGGAAACGTGTGATGCGGGGGTATCATACCGCAGAAAGTGGAATAATGTAAATGCTAGAAAGGAATCGTATCATAGTGTGGTAATGCAGTGTGACGAGACAAAAGGAAGAAAGCGATGCGGAGGTTTAGTAGGTCCCTCCTAAACTGTTCCAGGCAGCCAGGACATCGTCACTGACGCTGTCGCGATCGTTACTCGTCATCCTTGGGCTACTCGTGATGTTGTCATCTGGACTCAGATGGCGTGATCTTCTTGTGCTAGCGCTCTTGTAGTAGCTTGACGTTTGTGAGTAGACAGACGTACGTGATCCAGTAGAGTGAATGCTGCTCTGTCGATTTCGCGTTTCAGCGCCCGCGAGCGCCAGTTCACTTATGTGCCGAGCGGTCTTCTTGGGTGGTTTCGGGACTGGTGGCTCGACGATGCTAGGAGCACGAGACGAGGCTTCAGAGACTGGGGCCAAATCTCTAAAACCAGTAGACGTGGGAGGTACCGGGAATGAGATTGCCGTGGGACTGGATGCAGTCCTACTGCGGCGATGGAATGGTTCATCTTTCATTCTCTCTGGCGGTGAACTAATGACACCTTGATCGAGCATAGGGAATTCCTCAAGCTCGTTGCTGGTATCACTGCTCGCCACCTTGACTACGTCCTGGTCGTCAGTGTAAAGTGCGGGCGTCATTGGCGAGGGTAGAGGTGATGGGTGGTCGGTAGTCGTGGGTGATGCTATGCTAGCAGCAAGTGTTGGGGACGTAGGCGGGAACGGATCCACTTGTGAAAACCCGGAGGGCATTGGGAAGTGGTGCGGCAGCCTTCCTCGACTAGCAGGAGAATGATTACGGTCTGACCATGTGTCGCTTACGGAACTATCGCGGAGTTGGCTGGTAGTTGCCTGGCTTTCAGTCGTCGAGGATCTGCCACGTGATGGCGCAAGCGACGAAGATGTACCTGCAGATGCCCGGTGCTTGGACCTGGTCTCGGTGGATTTTACATGACTTGACTCCCGAGAATCTGTTGAAAGAAAAGCGGACGTGCGGTGGGGTGGAGACCTTTCCGCTGCTGGCTTGAGCTGCTTCTCTTGTTCCCGTGTGGGCGCCTGCGATGCGCTCTGTTTGTTCATAGCTGCGCGTTTCTTTCTCATCAGCTCCAGCAAAGCCTCCTCTTCTGCCGTCACTTGCATATATTTGCGCGACCCTTCGGATTGGGGCTGCGGCGCACTTGCTGACGTGCGTGCACTCACAACGCTATGTGCAGTAGGTGACACTGGTGTGGTAACAGCAGTCTGTGGGCGGGAATCTTCGTGTTCATGAATGACCGAAGGCTGCCTCACGTGGCTTATCCGTCTACCACCACTGTGAGTACTGTTTCGAGGATAATGATACGATGGGAGAGGTGGCGGCTCCGGCATGTACATCACTTCCATGGTGGCCGTTGTAGATGTCGAAAGTGTGCTCATCTTTCCAGCTGATTGCCCACGACGGTGTGGGCGAACTTCATATGCCTGTGCTCGTCCAATGACAATCTCCCCCGTGTAGTCGCCACTGTCTAAGCTCTCGCGAACGCTGCCCTTGCGAGATCGTGACCGGTTGTCGCTCTCGTCTTCAGATGACGAAAAGGACAAGACGCTAGAGTCTTTCAGGTTGGTCTTGGAAAGGGCAGACTCTTTAGTCTTTGACGTAGAATACGTTCGATACGTGTCTACTGAGTACTGGCTAGGTGAGGTTAGATGAGTAATGTCAACAATATCCTCGAGCGCGAAGCTGTCCCGTTTGTATGCTGGTGTGGGATCCTGCGATCGACGACTGTAGTTTGGTGCACTCCTTCCTCGCGAGGGCTCACCAGCGGTATAGCTGTGGTCTGGCACAACAGGTTTGAGATCTGAATATATAGCATCGTCATGTGGCTGCTGTGTTTCTTCCGCCTGGCTGTCTTCGCTCTCCTCGTCGAGCGCATCAAACCAATGCTGCACGCCTTTTGGTGGTCGTCGTACATGTATCTTGGCATTGTCATATTGATCCCTCTTGACTTTGCGTACTGGACTTGGGGGAGTCCTTGTTGGAGGATTCTGATACTTCACGTTGGGCTTCTGCAGCTTGGCAGGTCCTGCTTGTGGAGTCGGGTGCCTCGTCATTGGGTGAGGGAAGTACTCCGAGTTCATGGACATGGCAGCCGGTGAGTTCACCATCTTGGTGGGCGAAAGCAATGTACCATAGTTGGGTCCATCACTGTTGTCCTTGGGCTTGGGAAACAGTTTGGAAAGATCCAGGCGGGCAGGTTTACTTTTTCGGTATTCCTTCTTCCTCGTTTCATCCAGGATGGCAGGCGACATTGGACTGGCATCATAGTTGTTGTAACCATGGTCCGTCAATACCGGAGGCTGTCCTCTTCGTAACGCTCTATCTCGGACTGCCGAATCGGAGGTTTGCTGTGAGATATACAGGGGTGAACTCTTCGCGTCGTAGTGCGATCTCAGGGTCGAGTTGGACGTTTGTGGGTGTAGCCGGTGAGTGACGGAACCGTTGTCAGAGCCCTGCCTACTTTCTCCAGTATAGGTGCGTCCTAGGACGTTGGATGATGGCCGTTTTGACATGCTGGGTCGTTTCGGGTGCCCACTGTTCTCCGTAGCTGTTTGCGAGTTTCTCTCGTCGATGTGAGAGCCGAAACTAGCCTCGGATACGGTAATGGACATGTAACCAGGACTTGGTGGGATTGTCGACTGTCTCGATGTCGAGCGATGCAGGGCATCGGACGTGCCCAGTACTCGATGTGCTTTGCTGGACGTATCTTCGTGATGGGAGGGCCTCTCGGGGCCAGAGGGTATCGATGGGGCAGGGTGGACGTCGTGGACGTCAAGTTTGGATCGCGAGCGGCGAGGCAGTGGGAAGGAAAACTTCTTGGGTCCGCGGTCGCCGCGAGCCATGATGCCTGGGACAGCCGCGAGTGGGCAGAGAGAGATTGGTGGCTGTGGTGCGGGCGTGGGTGCGACTCAGTAAAGTTAGAGATACGATGGTGGAGACTGAATCGCGGTATTCGTTGGCGCTACAATGGCAATGGCCACATGGGGTAGGGTGTTGTCGAATGGCACGTCTTGTGCTGCCACCGGCCGGCGCTGACAGGACATGAAGTGATGTTTGCTTTTGAGAGCAGGGAGGCGATCCGATATGCAGTGGAAGAAGTCCGGCAGCTTCGATGGAGGAATCCAAGGGTTCAATTGCGGGCCCCTACGGCGATGCTGCACAGAGCGCTAATCCGGCGTGGACTGGTTGAGTGCTATCTGCAGGAACGGCAGCGCGGCGCGAGTAGTACGATGTCATGCAGCGATGGGACGGGACTATCAAGTTTGCTGAATGTCGGCCCTCTGGGGGCGAGGGGGACAGCGGATTAAAGTGGCAACCCTCCAGAAATCCCAAGAAGATGGGAGAGGGCGGGTATAACCCGCGAGTTATCGCCCAAGGATCCATTGAATTTACCGCCTGTGAGGAGCTGGTGATGGTAGGATCCGCATGGCAGTCGGCTTCAGGGGTCGCTCATGTCATTGCAGACGTGCGGACCGCTTGTGTGCACAAGCGTCGAGCCATGCACGGTCCCAAAGCCACACCTGCAGTCTTCAGACATGCATACCCTGAGTATCTGTCATATGACAGCTCGCCCTTCTCTAGTCGGAATTTGCAGCGCTGCGGCAGTGCGCGGCCACGAGCATTTTCGTCTGTCGCCCGTCGCCGTCGCCGCAAAAGACAGGGCTGGAATCGTCAGGAGCGAAAAACCTACTTGTGGTTGAGAAGGACTAGAGCTCGCCGTACCGAACTTTGTAGGATTGTCCATGCGTCAGTAGACGACACTAGCACCCGCCTAGAGCCTAGTCCTAGGGCAGCGGCGATATGATTCCCCGCTGGACGCCGAACATGAACCATAGTCTCCGACAGAGCCCTGAGCCAGAACCATAACCTCACCACTCCGTCGCCAATTTCCACAACCTGTACCTGCATCATGTCGTGCTGCTTTGCCCACCGGCTTTCTTTCCGATTCACCACCAGCAGCCCACGTCGCACATGTTGCACATCGCCTCGTATCCATTCATCGCGTTGCAACACAAAACGGGTAGCAGCAGCCCTGCAGTGCCCACATAGTGCACATCTGGGTCTGTGAGCATCGTCAGGGGTGAGAGACGAATTGCGCGATTGACCTTCGTCTTTCCCTTCCTGTTCCTCCATAGTGATGGTGCGGCTATCTTCTGATGATCACGAACATCCTCGTGGGGATGCACGTAGCCAAGCCGGCTCTTCGTAGATCCGGCATCTCCTAGCGAAGAAGCGCGGTCCCTTTCCACGCGCTCCACCACGGCTATCTTCTCAGGTTATTGTAAGCTGACCCATGTCATGTACGCGTCGAATTATCAGTATGCTTTGTCTAGCGCTGACGCGGGAGCTCGACACTGTCATAAATGCTTGGTTATGAAATGTTATAGTTCGTTTGGGTATAAGAGAAGGCCCGCACATGAAAGACCGTCTTACTGCCTGAGTCAATATCCAAACACGCGACCACGATACACTTTGGGCACGCAAATGAGGCTATCAGCGAGGTTGACCGAACTCAGCCGAACACATCTAGTGGCATTGGGGCGCTTCGGAGTTTTCACCGCGTTGTTTTGAACATAGATTGCACCGCTGGCACTTGAGGCACCACAAGTTCTGAGGCTTGAGCAGGTCGTTTCAGCTTTTATGGTGTATCCATCTCGTTGGTAACTATGGTTGAATTTCGGAGCAGGTCCTAGTGGTCGTACTGTTAGCTTCTCGCTTGTATGCTTTGAAGGCTACGAATCAGACGCATATATAGTGAGTAATCCCAGGTGTAGAGTATAACGCCTTCATGTGAAACCGAGCATCGGAAGATGGCCTCAGCCATGTGATTGTCCAGTATCCTGCGTAAGTTCCAACACACTGAAATAGCTCAAAGACTTTCGAGTACCTGGGCGATGATATTTCCTGGTAGTTTGGTATTGTAATTGAATTGTTGTGCTATCATTGCTTACTATAAATTACTGCTTCGGCTGAAGGGATGAATTTGTAGTCCTTCTGTGTATCGTCCGGCCAGTTTGAGACTGAAAGACCGATGGCTGGGACAATATTCGCTAGCTGCTCAAAGTGTTTAGGTATCATCCTTTCCATCGGCTGTCATATGAAGAGAACGAGAGGACAGTCATCGCGTGTCTTCGTCATCGCTTCCGCATTGGTGATGCAGCAGGAACCGTGATGTCGCTAGGGCAGACAAGAAGGAGGTTTCTTAACCAACAAGAAGCGACAACGATGCGGTTGCGGATACGAATGGGGAAAAACGTAATGGAGACAATCACATAATGTAGTGCCTTGACGGATATTGTCGTCGCCGTGTCTCGAATAGGATGCGGTCGAAGGAGCCTATCGCAATGTCACCTTTCGCTTGGAGATACATCATTGAGCTTCTGCTGCTATTCAGGTTCGGTGAGTAAGCCCACACAAGAAAGAGCTCGTTTTACAAAGTTGTGTCTTCCCAAGGTCGTGTAGCCAAAGATACTCTAAGGGTATGTGCCGCTACGTGCTTGTTGAACTTGTAGCGCAAAAGCGTGCGTATGGCTTCGAGTAGGGTTTAGTGTATAGGATATATGATGGAAAAATCGAGTTCCTTCCTATCAGCGTGCTTCCATGATGTCCAAGGGTCATCTACATGTAGCAAGGATTCCTGGTTCAACTCTAGACGGCGGTGTAGCAATGAGTGGCCGTCGCCGTTTTCGAGACCACGTCTAGCTTCGCAATTGCATCTTCATTGCGATAGCTGCTTCCGTGTAGAAATTGCATGGCAGGCTTTGTGTATTTGTGTTTATCGGGATGTCATGCAATGTAGCGCTTGTGGCGTCGTACAGCCGTGCCGCTTCCAACACTGCTGCACATGCAGCTATTGCATACGCAACCCAAGCAGTCTCGAAAAAGGATGGCTTCCAATATGCTACTCGTAGCGGTGTGTGTGCGTGTGTGTCTATACAGCAGTGGATAGAGAACAACAAAGACGGCGCTTGTTGTCGTGTTTTGCCACGCCAGAAAAGTTGATGGGATGGCTGACCGAATGCGGCGTCACTCGGCACAAGCCTCGTGACTGGCGGTATCAATATACCGCCCGCAGCGCCCGCAAAGCTGCAGCAATAGCTCAACTATAGCTCCTACACGACACGAGCGTTGAGAGGTCTTTATGTGAGATATAGATGACATGGATACCTGTAGAAGCAACAATAAATCCTACTATAACGAAGCTCTAGAGCTTCCCATTGCGCAATACAGACGGCAAGCTGTCAAGCACCCATGTCAACCCATTAGCGCTAGTCAGTGGCCCACTGCGAGATGCTCTGTCGTGCCTTCGTCTACCTAAACCCCACCACCACTGCCAATCCACACGCAATACCCGACAGAGCCATATACACGACCGTCCTTCGCTTCCCTCGCCTCCTCAGCAGACACGGCGACGTCCTTGGCGGCTCTCCAGTCTCCTGCGTTTCAACCACGCCATCACGTCTCCATACGCTCCTATCTCTCCGTCGGCGGCGACACGTCCGATAGCGACCACGACGATCCCCGTGACGGCCTCCGCGAGCCAGCAGACGACGTGTGTACCGACTGGCGACATGCACAATAACTAGGCCCGTCGTCTTCTCCCGCGTCATTCCTGCTCCGCCGAGCTCGCGCTTTGGTCCCGAGGTCTCAGGTCCCGGATCACCACCACTAACGTTTCCGTGAGCCACTTCACTCGGCAAGTGAACCGAACAAGCTTTTTGAGACCCGTTCTCGCACGCATCACCGACACTCGAAAGAACATCCACGCCCTCCGTCACGCTCACGCAACATGGCCTCTAATGCTGCAGGCCCCAGCGCTGACGGCGTGGCCACGACAGTGCACACTGAAGCCACAGACCCGTATGCCACCATGGGACAGTTCTCCTTCGCGCCAGCAACCAAGACGACAGTAGTCACGACCACATACACGACCACGACCACGTTCCCGCCCCTGTGTGTAAACGCCCCCGGCAGCCTCAGCGAGCGAGACCCCAAGGACTACCCGCTGGCCCACGTCCAGGCTCCCGAGTCAATACGCAAGTTCTACTTTGAATCCGGAGGCGAGCTGGCTTGCTTTGAGGAAGCAGACGCTGCCTCTGAGAAGGTGCGAGAGGTACGCTTTTCCCTCACGCCAGGGATATGCCTGCAGCTGAGGCCTTTCACGTTGCAGCCGCCATGCCCCCCAGCTAACACTTTGACTGCAGCAGAAAACGCTCCGCCAGAACCTACGATCCGCAAACGGCACCCTCAAGAAGGTCGAGTCCTACGACGGCCCGCCAGTCTTCGCGACACCCAGCCGCTCGACGCGTCCAAAGCCACGCGCTCCTCACCAAGGGCTCCGTTCAGTCTCTGGTCGTCGGAAACGGGATAATGCAGACGATTCGCCGCCGCCACCGTCAATCACAAAAGCCGTTGAGCTGCTCGGTACACATCGTCAGAGCAAGAAGCCCAGGTTAGAGCACGACAAGGACGCTCGCATGGCCTCCCGTCCCACATCGAATGAGATGGAGGATCCACACCTCGCTACGCCCGACACAGACATGGCCGGCCTCGGCTCGTCCAAACTCCCAAAACTCCGCAATAATCATCTACACAGCTCCAAGCCTAGAGCTACGTCGCAGCAGATCGGACCGAACCAAACGCCGCCTCGATGGCGGCTTCAGGAATCAAGTGCCCGCCCATCACACTCTAGAGGTAGCCTCTCTGACGACCGAGAGCCAACCCCAGAGCCCTCCTTCCCCACGGGTGTATTCGACGGCCCAGGCGTAGCTGCTACACCTCCAATTGCTGAGTCCGATTTGGAACCAGGTGGACCTTTCGCCGAAGACGCATCTTTTACGCCCTCGCGACTCACTCCCCTTGATACAACTTCGGCGCAAGATGTAAGCTTGCCCAGTCCCAGCCTGTCGCCCATCACGGCTGCCGCAAACCTCGCGCAACAAACGAATGGTGGAGCGTCCTTCTCAGGCACAGAAATGGACTCGGATGTGAATGATGTGTCAGGATTTGACCTGTCACAGGGCACTTCAAGCAGCTCGCACACAGGAGACTTTTCACTTTTTCCTGGTTCCCGACAACGCGACAACGGTGACGGTTCCAATACGCAACTGCCTACTCCTTCTGTCATGGATATACCGAATATGCTCAACTCATTCGATGCTCTGCCAGAGCAGATGAAGTCGTACGTCTTGTACCAGATGCTGCGGAGATGCAAAAAGCCGACCCTACACTTCGTTGCGGATGTCGTCAACCCTGCCCTTAAGAGGGACTTCATCGCCTCGCTCCCTACCGAACTCAGCCTTGAGATCATCAGCTATCTGGATGTCAAGAGTATGTGCAGCGCAGCACAAGTGTCCAAGTACTGGCGGAAACTCACCGATACCCATGAGTCCGCGTGGAAAGATCTGTTAGACAAAGATGGATACAAGCTGCCGCATGGCGAGCTGGAGCGTGCTGTGCAAGAAGGTTGGGGCTGGCAATATCCCCATTCCACTGACAGCTACGAGCGCGACCTGCGAGCTCAATCGGTAGCCTCGAGGTCAGATAGCGAAACCATCTCAGGCTTCTCCACTTCTAGCCTGTCCAGCGGCCTCCAAGATCAGGAGGGTGCAGTGACACGATCCTCGTCCACACGTCAGAAGAGGAAGGCTACAAGTAAGCATAGCAATAGCAGTGGCAAAAAGGCTCGCAAGAGTCGTACCTCCACTAGGACACAGGTTGCCCTCTACTCGCAACCTGCAGATTATCAAGAGGGCCCACATGCTTTTGCTAAGAGAGCAGAAGCCGCCATCTCTGATCCCAACG